ATATATATCTGGGGATTCTCCCCCAGAAAATTTTGAATAGGTAGATGTGATTGCCTGCATTTTGATGTATTTTAACAGGTTGCTAAACATCTACATTTACCTAAATTTGTAAACACTTCACTTCTTTCAAGCATCCGACTCCCCCTTACTTGATGGTTCCGAGCCCGACACTGTCCCTGCTCGTTGTTGTCCGACTCCACATGTGAAACCTCCAGGCGCCTCCTCCGTCTGTTCATGGCGGCTGCCTGTGGCCTCCTGCCCGCGTACGACTGCCTGGTTAGCTCCGTACTCACCCCTACCACTCTAGGGGCAGAGATTTTACACTTATACACTCAATTTGTTTGTTTTTCAGCTTTAAATTCATTCCGAGAGGAACTGTCTATAATTATAGTAGATTTTTAGTGACATTGACAGAAAGCAACCCATTTTTTTGCTTATTTTATACAAAGAGGGAACAATTAAGTTTGACTGCAACCAAGAAAACTATAATAATACTGCATTTTTAAAACCTCAATATTGCATATTATAAAAATTATTATTCTAATGCTTAATAACTTTCAATAACTCTTAAAAATCCACAGGAAGGTCTGAATATTTTAGTTATAGAAAGCATAAACTTTTGAAAACCTACTCACAGCCTGAATGCAGTTTGGTTCAGGTTAACGTCTCATTGAGTTGAAAGTATAAATGTTTGTGTTTGGATACTGACGACATCATAAATCACAAGGCACAGACCAGCGTCTTTGTTCGGGTCCCCTGACGTCGTCCCAGTGAGTTCGTCCTCAGAGAGACGGGACGTCCAACTGCAGGGCTTCCAGAAACCCTACAGCCACCAGCAGCAGGCGGTGTTCCTGCAGCAGCAACAAGGTACCAACAGCTCACATCACTGTGGTCGGTGCAACACCTCTTCCTGCTTTAACGTTTGTTTTTGTGGCTTTTTAAGACTGTTTGTACGGAGAAGTGGTTCCCCCGGTGAGCAACGGAGGCTTTGAACCAGCTACTTACTTCACAGATTCACCTGCTGCAGGTGAGACGTCTCATATATGAACCTAACACCTCCCGCCAACCCTTTAGGAAACTTTCATCCGGTGTTTAACGAACTGGCCCATGTTCCTGGTGTTCCTCAGGTTTCAACCTGCTGCAGGACCTTCAGGGCCAAGTGGAGGAGCGATACCCCTCGTCTCCCTGCCCGGAGGACAGCTTCCTCTTTCAGACAGGAGGGGTGGACCGCTGCCTCAGTCAGTTCTACTCCATTTACTTAGACTCATGATGGAAAACGAAGCAAAAAAAAAAAAAACTAAAGATTTCCATGAAAAGAGAAGAAAGTGTGACACAGAGTGTGGCGTCCATCCCATCATCACGTCTGCCGTACAACACGCTGCAGGTTTCAGGAACAATTTGTCTCGTTGTTCTTAGCAGATTTAAGGTTTTATTGGTAGAAAAAAACCTGAAGGATCAAAACCTTCAGCCAACAGGAAACTTGGAAACAATACAAAAGGATATAGAAGAGCTGCATCTGAGATCAGGATAGAAGAAGTTATACACAAAAATATTTTCCTCTGTCACTTCCATCAGGTCAGACTCAACTAGAGGAGAATCCTGCCTTCAACTTACAGCACAGACACACGAGAAAAACTATTTTCAGCGGTTTAAATGGGACAATCAGTGAAGTTAGAAGAGTAATGACTTTAATATCAGACCGAAACCAAAGAGGTGGCAGTCAGCATCTTTAAGGTGTTCTTATCCAAAAATATGGATTTAATGCACTAATTAATGGGGTACTTTGGAAAACTTGTTAATTTCTTCCGAATGTGTGTTATGAATCATCAGCATCTTACCTGTTGTAGATGGCACTTTGATTGGCCTCAGCTTTGAGAAAAATGATTATTTTGACCAGAATGTTGAGTGTGTTTACACTGCTATCTGTTTTTATTGAAAAGAAAAACAACCTCAAAGCTGTTTGAACCAGTTCTCAGTCTTTACGCTAAGCTAACCAGCTACAGCTTCTTTATATGAACCAAGAAATATAAAAATATATATTTCAGAAGATTAGGTATGGATTCAGGGTCACAAACTCTGTTTATCGTCAAGTTGTTTTGTATAAAAGTAAACAGATGTCGTTGAGCAACATCTTGTTTCCTGATGTGAAGCTGATTCTCTGCTGCCCCCTGGTGTCTGGATGAATGTATTGAAATTATGTTACAAACATGGTAAAACAAGCTGCACTAAACATTAAACTGCCTGTTTTTTTTTTTGTTTTTTTTTACATTAAAACGTGTCTCATTGCTATCACGTGCAGCCTTTATATATTTTTCTTGCACAGATTCTGTCAGTGTTGAATATTCAGTGAGAGGGATGCTGTTTACAATAACTTCTCCAGACTTTTTCCCCCTCCGTCTCCTCACAAAAACTCAAAGATAATGACTGACCAGAAAATGTTTACACTGATTTTAAAGCATATCAGAAATGTCTCATTGAATAGCTTGTATCTGTCTTTTATACCTAAATAAAAACCTTTTTATTGTTATTTAGTGATAAATATCTGTTTTGTTTAATCAGTCCTAATTTAATGTTCTGTTCAGTACCATAAAACAAATGAGTGAATATTAGGACTCTAGTCTTTGGAATATTTAATTTTCTGTTATTTTTACATGTAATTTTGGTTGTTAAGCCGCTGACATGATGATGGTGATGCCATCTGTTGGTTGAATATTTAAAACCAGACACCAGACCTGAGCTCAAACGTGTGACCCGTGCTGCCACAATGTCACAATGGGGGGTTTCTCAACAATGACTCATTTTATTTTCAAACTCTTCATCTCAAAAGCTTCAGATTGAAATGAAGTGTGTTGAAAATTGGTGAATTTATCATGTGGTCTTAACAACTAGTTTGTTTACAAACGGGTTGAAAACTCAATTTTTGCTTTTCTGGACTGACATCATCCAGAATTCCTGCACTACTTTTAGGGAAAAAAAGAGGAATCCCCAAGTCTCACAATGACACCAAACATATAAAGGAATTTCTTGGCAAATAAAACAAATCGGTTACAAAGAAATGTTAAGGGTTTATAAAATAAAACGTAATTTCTGAAGACATGCCTGTTATAAAACTTGGATTTAAAGGTAGATTAGTAAAATTATACGCTGTTTTAGTTATGGGGCCTGTGCTCATTCTGTCTCATTTTGCCACCACAGTTAAACGTTTTATTAGGATTTTACTAAAATAACTATTTATTGGGATTTTTATTTATTTATTGAATCTCAATAGACAGAAAAAAACGTTTGGAATGTGAGGATCAAAATTTTACAATCTATTAAAAATAAAATTGACTCAAACACAATAGATTATTATTAACCTTTATTTAACCAGGCAAATCCCATTGAGATCGCAGATCTCTTTTGCCTGAAGGCAGACTAACATGCATGTTTTTGGGAGGAAACTGGAGTACCTGGTGAAAACCCTCGCAAGCGCGAGAAGAACATGCAAACTCCACACAAAAAGATCCCAGGTCCAAGCAGGGACGAACCCAGGACCTTCTTTCTGTGAGGCAACAGTGCTAACCACTGAGCCATCATGCTGTTTTAAACCACTAACCAAATAAAACATCGTCTTAATTTGGTTCAACTGTTTCCCGTATGTCTAAAAATCACAAATTGTATTTAACTACTTTTACCATTGAATTTAAAAGTGCCCCACTAACCACAGCCTTGTGCGCGCACGCCAAAAATAACATAAATCACAGACCAATGACATCAGCAGCTGCACAAACAAGTAAAGATTTATTAAATATTTAATGTATTATTTAACTTCCCTATTCTGTTTTTCCATTTCAGTTTGTTTTAAGTACCATAAGTCTCTTTTAACTGTTTTGACTGGTGTATGTGCACGTGTCCTGCAGATGCACATCCAGCATTTGAATTAAAGGTCCTTCTTGTGTGAAGAGCAGACGAACAAGAATTCATAGTTATAAACTTTATTTTATTTTTTCTTATCACGGTGGTTAATGTGAAATCTTAATCCATAGGTTAAAAATTTCTAAGCAAAATTTGACCAAATGCCAACGACCATGTGTGTTCAATTACTTACAGAAACAGCCAAACTGACTAAAATAGATCATAAGTTAAATTTATAGGTGTGGCAGAAGTTTAGTAAAATCCATGTGCATGATGAGCTTTATCATGACCCCCCCTGGATCCCCAATGTTTCTGTTTGACGGCTGCCTTAAGGCTAATTTATACTCCACAAGACGTGAAGAAATCTGTTCTCAGAACTTTTTTCTCACGGGGGTATGCACCAAGTATTGTGTGATTGGTCAGACCATCGGGGGCAAGTTTGTTTATGTGGAGGAGTACTTGAAACAGATGATGTAGAAGGTTTAGGTTTATTTATCATATGCAGAGCAACACAACAAATGTGCAATGAATTGCTCAGGACGAGAAGAACCTTCTCTACTCGCCAAAAAACAAGAAATACCAAAACATGCAAAAAAATACAAAAACAAGGCGCCAAAAGTGAAAAAGAAAGACATCTACAACAGTATGGTCCTATTAGCAGAGTGGTTCTGTTGGCAGTAAGGTTCTCTTAGCAACTGGTCCATTTGAAGCATGGTACTGTTAGCAGTGTGGTTCTGTTAGCAGTGTGGTACTGTTAACAGTGTGGTACTGTTAACAGTGTGGTACTGTTAGCAGCATGGTTCTGTTAGCAGCGTGGTTCTGTTAGCAGTGTGGTACTGTTAGCGGTGTGGTACTGTTAGCAGGGTGGTTCTGTTAGCAGTATGGTACTGTTAGCAGGGTGGTTCTGTTAGCAGTATGGTACTGTTAGCGGTGTGGTACTGTTAGCAGTGTGGTACTGTTAGCGGTGTGGTTCTGTTAGCGGTGTGGTACTGTTAGCGGTGTGGTTCTGTTAGCGGTGTGGTACTGTTAGCGGTGTGGTACTGTTAGCAGGGTGGTTCTGTTAGCAGTATGGTACTGTTAGCGGTGTGGTACTGTTAGCGGTGTGGTTCTGTTAGCGGTGTGGTTCTGTTAGCGGTGTGGTTCTGTTAGCGGTGTGGTACTGTTAGCGGTGTGGTACTGTTAGCAGCGTGGTTCTGTTAGCAGTGTGGTTCTGTTAGCGGTGTGGTACTGTTAGCGGTGTGGTTCTGTTAGCAGTGTGGTACTGTTAGCGGTGTGGTACTGTTAGCAGTGTGGTACTGTTAGCAGTGTGGTACTGTTAGCGGTGTGGTACTGTT